AAACGATACGCGATCGTTCTGCAACTTTTAAGTGAAAGAGAATAGAATTTATGTTTTTTTATTTTATGTCAAATTTTTCCAGGATGTTTTGTTGCAAAGATAAAAAACTAATCTTTTTGCGAGAAATATTAGACTAATGGTATGTACATCTTTGTGCTTCTAAATTGATTCAATCTCTTTAAACTAAAACATAAAGTAATGATAAAAATGAAATAGTAGAAAATATTCAAGTACATTTGTTGATTCGTAACATCTAGTAATTGTTAGAAATTTTCATAGAAATATTTTGAGGAATTTTCAAATTCAATTTTCCCAAAAATGAAGCTCTACATGAAACAATTTTATGACATATTTTTATCTGAATTTTTCATGCAGAATAAAATACCAAATTAATATTGTTAAATTAACGAAAAAATGGTTTGATTGTTGCGTGCTGCAAATAATTTTTCTTCCAAATATGCATTTTGAAGAATTAAAAAATTTAATTTTCTCACATATAAAGTCGCATATGAAAAAGTTGTATTCCATATTTTTAGCTCAGTGTTTCAAAAAAAAATTGAAATTAATAATAAGCCCTTGTTCCTCTTCCATCTTTCACATCCCTCCATAATTTATCCCTCCATAATTAAAAAATCTTGAGTATATTGATAAAAATAATGTACAGTCTATACAATAAAACAATCTGCAAGATTTTGTCATATCCTTCCGTATCCTGTATCTTATGCTTTCCAGCATGTAATTTCAACTTGTGCTATAAAATCTAGCACCCATCTGTTGCCTGCACCTCAAACGCAATAAGGAAGAAATTGGCACGTGTTTGACGTACGAACGATCGCGTGACGTTATGCGAAATGTGTTTGGACTTTGTGTGCACCGTGAAATGCATTGATCCCGGTGCTGCACCGACAGCACGCGGTCACGGCATCTGGCTCAAATGCACGCGTAATTAACCGATTCGTTCGTGCCGGAAGTCCATCTGTTCCGGCGGACGTTCCGCTCGAAAACCGTAATCGAAAGCATACCTTCCGGTGCTGATGCTTTTCACCGCGGTCTATTCGGTTGCACGTCTAAAAAAAGAAGGAACGTTTGCATTAAGTGAACGAAATCGTGGTGTGCTTAGTGACCCCTTTCGTGAAATACTGCGTGCTAATTTCAAAGAACATTTCCTCGGAAAGAGAACATTCCATTCAATTTGTTGAAAAGAGAATTTCAGCTGGTATAGAAATTTGTTGGTTTTTTGCAATTAAATTAATATTCATCACAATTAAAGCAATATATTAACTAAAGATAAAGTGTATGCATTTAATTTATTTTTGAAAATGTCTTAATTATTTAACTTATCACATTTCTATTCGCTCCCTTCAAAAATAAAATCTGAAATATTTTATATAAAACTCTCTGAGTAGAAATATCAATCTACTCCTGTCTAGAGATATCACTATTGCAATTGAAAAGTATATGCAAACTTTGATAGAAATAATTCAAAACAGCGACAGTCTATTTGTTTAACAAAAGCATTCGATCTTCTATATTTTCAATAAGCCGGCAAGAATTTATTAATTATTATCTCAATTGACATATTAATAAAATTGACAAGGTACTAGATCGTAACACTATAGCAATCTCTGACATAATCACTAGCATCAAATTATACCACAACTCAAGCCCCTATTTAAACCATAATTCAGGCTTCAAAATAAGGTACCAGCATCATTCGAGCATGAATCAAATGTCTTTCCTTATACGTGCATCTATTTCCTCCCCAAGTGTTATCACCAACAATTTTAAATCCACTAAAAAAGCTAGAATGAAATATATTATAAAATTACCTTAGTTGTAAAAATGTTTCGCGGCGTTGTTTGAAAATAATCGAACGAGTCGCTTCGTGAGAAGATGTATTTCGTTTACAAACGATTTAAATTACAAGGGGCCGGCTAGAATCATTCACAAAAAGAAAAAAAAAACGCGCAATAACATCGGTTCGGCACCCAATATGCGCGACTCGTACGAGCGAGTAACGAGCTTTCGCAAACGAATCGCACCCCGTGTTCCCCCATATTTTCTTCTTTCCGTTTTTCCGTTCAAACGTATACTCGTGCTCACCATCTGACGTGTATGCGTGTCCACCTGTGCTCGTGTTAGTTATCGTGTGTAACGACGGGCAATTTTGACACCAGTTTACTGTTCAATAAATATGCTTCAATCGAAAATCATCAGGAGACACAGAGATCTTGAAATGATTTGACGATCTCGATCAACTTGGGAGCACAACAGAATAAGCTTTGTAACATTAGAAATTGATGCATGCAATAGTATTGAGATACAACGATACATTATATATCCTCGTAACTCTATACCAAAATTCTATCACATTATTGCCTGCGCTTTACTCGCTCAAGCGTTAATACAGCTGCTACTATGCTACTTAAGAAACGACTCTAACCGCTTCGAGACAGTCGACCCATTCGAGAATCTCGGCTTATCCAAGAAAAAAATTTATCATTTTGTAATAATCCTTTTAATTGAAAATTCCAAAGATGTCTTAGCCCGTCGTTAGTCACTAGCGATGGGATTCAAGTATATTACTAATAGTTTCGAATCTAGTAAACTATTGATTAATTAGTTTACGAGTACTTCTAAAATAACAGCGATACTTGCGAGTATACTTAAATCTAGAGATAGGTTCGAACCTCTTACGAGTACTTTCAGAAATAAGAAGTATTCATTCAAGTATTTAAGTTTCCTACCCCGTGTGCTCTTTAACAAGACATTTGAACGAGAATTCATACGTGAATAAAAGAATGTATGTATGTATATTGTAAATACTTTAAAAAATGAGAATATGAATAAGTATGATTAGTTTAGTAAATATAACATTAAGATACAGCTAATAAAACAAAAAAATAAAAAATCTATATTTAATTTAATGAATGTAATAATAAAATAGTCATAGTAATGTCCTTATTTACATGATATATGTATATCTGTAATTTTGTATTCTTCAGCATTTAAGTATTAATTTCATAACTGTGGGGTTCGAAACCAACTCATATATTCCAAGTATTTCGCAAGCACACACATATACAACGAAAACATCATCTAATTTGATTAATATTCGAAGCTCATAAAATGAAACTCATGTTTTGCATAAAATAAAACTTGGCTCCAATTTGTGAATACATACTGCACTTGATCCCATCTCTATTAATCACCCAATCCATTATACGCGCCCGTGTGTCTCTGTGTGACCAAATGTGTAGATACGTACGTGTATGTGTGTGTGTGTGTGTGTGTGTGTGTGTGTGTGTGTGTGTGTGAAATCGTACACAATATCAATTAACGTGCACAAGAACAATACTGCCACGAGATTGCGTGCAGGGCGGGTTCGTGCAGAGCCGCACGGAGCATTAACAGTGTGACAGACCTGGCTTTAACAGACACAACTTTAGCCCCAACGGCCATGTTCTCTCTACAGTAGATCGGCCCATACACTATGTGGTCCCATACGGGCGGATTATTAGCACGGTCCACAACGTCAATCTGTACCTCCACCGTTCGCGACAAGGGCGGGAAGCCCTTGTCTTGGGCCATCGCCTCCAGCTTGTACATCTCACGCTACACCAGACCGCGTGTATAACAAACGGGAACAAAAAACAATGGCGTTAGTGTCAGTCGTAATGACTCGTGGCAGTTGGAACAATTGAATCTCGGGATGAGCCTGGTTAGCTCTTTCTCGAGTCTCTCGTGCCCCTCTCTCTCTCTCTCTCTCTCTCTCTCTCTCTCTCTCTTTCGGTCCATCGCGTTCTGTGTCTGTCTGTCTTAATCACACGTTTCAATTCTGATGGCCATTATTTGAACATTCGCACCCTGGTGTAGCCAGTGTTCATCGTGTCTGGTTAGATCACATGTTAAATCATAACGTCGATTAGGCTTCGACGACAATTCTTTCTGCTTTAGCCGCTGCTTCGCTCAATTTTAACGCTCTACTAGCGCGATTTACGCTCTAAGCAAAGCGGGACTAGCGCCAACTGGAAGCTGAGCGTGCTGATTACAACGGGGACACCAAAGGCCCCTAGATAACGAGGATCGGCAATCGCTGATGCCAGCTTCTGCACCTGCCTGTACTCTGCTCGTGAAAGAAAAAAGGACAAGTTTTTTTGTTTTTTTGTTTTTTTCTCCCCCGTCTACGGGGACCTGGATCTCTCGCTATATCCTCGCCTACCCTATACGGATCATCGCGCTAAGGACAATCCGGCATCCGGTTTTCCGAACTCGTACACATCTAGGGATGGTTTCCGCTATAGTCGTCGGAACCGGTTTCGTCGATCCTTCGGCAACCATCTTGCACCGAATCTCTTCCACTTATATTAAGTAAATACAGAGGACTTTATTAGAAATTTTATTCAAAATACGTTATTTCAATCTCTAATATTGTATTTGATTCGGTGACGTTCGATTCCCAAAAGTTATCCAAAGAAACCGACTCCGTCGACAATGGTAACAATTAACATAAGTAAGGGATAGAAAGTAGTGGTAATAGTATAGTAATGGTAGTAGTAGTTGTAGTAACAGTAGTAGTAGTAAGTAGGTAAGTAAGTAGTAAGTAGTTAGGAGTGTCCGACCAATCAGCGATCTACCGCGCCGCGCATAACCATACATGCTTTTCCTCTCCCGATGAAATTACATCATGTACGTACAGAGATGAAAGAAAGACAACACAGTTAAAACGCTTTGAAAATGATAACGAACGAAGACACAATCAAAAGGGTTACGCAAAATCGACTGAAAATTGTGAAACGTGAAGCTAATATAATAAGACTGAACGAACATAGTCGGTGACAGATGGTGAAAGGTTGAATAGAACGAAAGGTAGAGTTAATAAAACCAATACCGACTGCAAATAAAAAAAACGAAAGAATGACTGAAATAAGGGAGTAGCATTGCATGGCACGGCACGGCATGTCACGTGTCTTGTCTCGGTCATGTCGTGGCATACAAACCTGGCTTTCACCGACGTCACTACAGTACCCACTGTGACATTTTCTTTGATGTGAATGGGGCCGTATACATTCGCATCCCACACAGGTGGTTTATTGTTTCTGTCTACGACGTCTAACTCAACGTCCACATCTGCGTACAACACTTGCGTCCCTCTGTCGGAGGCCCGTACTCGCAGGCGATAGCTGTCACGCTAATGGCAAAACATTGGGCCGTCAACTCACAGGACACTTTTTCGGGACTGTTGTTGGCGGATTTTTTTATTTTTTATTTTTTATTTTTTTCTGTTATTTATTCTGTTTTTACTTTCTTTGATGACTGTTTTTTTGCTTTCGATCTTTTTGTTTGGTATATTTTTAGATTCGTTAGGTTTTTGCTTTTCTTTTCTTTTTTTTTTTACTGGTTTTGATTGACGTTTACGAGAGACAAGTCACTCGGTGGCGAAGTATATACTTTTACGCGCGGTCGTCTAGGACGACCCGAAGGGTATGTCTAAACGAAAGAAATAGAAGATAGTGAAGGACCGTACGGTCTCGTGCGTATCCGTTTACATCGTTCCAGACCTTTTCGATTATCATATATCTTCCGCGTGTTCACCAATCTCTGATTAACCTGAAAATTTCTATCATTATCGAATATCAGTTATTGTAGAATGATTGATTGACACTTTGGTTCATTGGAATCCCTATGGAGGATACTTACCCGGCATGGAGACAAAGTTTATAATTTTCAAAATAATTCAGTTAACCAAGAATGTATTTTTAAAGGATTTCACATTCGTTCGAATTTTAAGTTGAAATTTCTTCATAATGAAATTTTCAAATGATATTTAAAATCAACAGTATGAAATAATTATTTGTGCCAATAACGTAAATTTTTATTTATGTTTGTTTCAGTGCCAGATTTTTATTACATTAATTTGTAAATTGTCTTCGATACGGTAATAGAATAGGATTTACTTTCTTATTCAGTTATCGTACTTCCAATTAAAAAATTTTCAAACAACCAAAATTAACATTCAATCTTAGACCCTTTTTCATTTTTACATTCTATTTTTTCAATGCTTGGAAGTCTTTCCTTTAACCCTTATCCAAACAGATGTGTATCAAGATGCAATTTGGATAAAAAAGTATATTTCATCTTTATAATAAATTTTCAAAAACATTCAGCTCTTTGAAAATGTACATTCAGAATTAAATGAACATTATAAACTAGATACATACGTCAGTTCATTAAACTCACCTTAACTGGATAAGGGTTAAAAATTCGAATGACTAATACCTCTCCAAGGATTAAAGCAAAAAAAGGTAATGAAATCGTTATCGGCGATACTTCATCATAAGGAGGTCCTTCACTAACGGATACACTCGAGACCAGGACTAGAAAACGAACGGAAACGCGATTATTGTTCGAAATGAAAAGAAAAAAACCGAAAGAGAACAGAAAAATTGCAGAAATATCGCGGTTGGTATTAAATCTTGAATACAAATTACATAACATCAAAACCAAAGGAGAAAAAAAAATAAAGAAAGAATTGATCGAAGACGGAGATAGAGAAAGAGAGAGAGACAGAGACAGAGATAGCGAGAAAGAGAGAGAGAGAGAAAGAGAGAGAGATACAGAAAGAGATAGAGAGAGCTATACAAAGAAAGTAAAAAATAAAACAGAGTGACGTCTCCGAGTGACAATAATCATAGAACAACAACAACAACAGAGGCGAACGAAACAATCGAAAAACCATTGAATACAATCAATAATCAATAACGGAAAGCCGCTCTACCAAATATCACATAACTCATATTTCTTCTTACTTTTTTTTATATGTATATCTTTCTTTTTCATTGCTTTTCTTTACACTGGTATAACAATGCTGTATATCATGTTATACTTTTTGGTGTCTCGATGCAAAGTGTGAAACACAAGAATGTGGTTCCTACTTACTGGAAAACAGCCCTTTTTTTCATCATTTTCATCATCATCATCATCATCATCATCATCACCATCATCATCATCATCATCATCATCATCATCATCAAATCCGAAGAAAGTAAATGGTGCAATGAACACAAACATAAACAATAAGAAATTCAAATTAGTTCCTTTACGAAATCAACCAATGCAGGCATTTGCATGCAAGCAAGAATGCGTTTAAAGAGGCATCAGGAGGAATAGGGCGACTTGAGAAAGAAAAAAAGAGGTAGACAGAGAGAAAGATTTTGAAAGTTAGAGAGAAATAGATAGAATGAAAGAAAGAAAGAAAGAAAGAGAGAGAGAGAGAGAGAGAGAGAAATAGTGATAAATAAGAGAGAGCACGAGGGGGTTGGAGAGGGTGGAATCAAAAAGGAGGATAATCGGAGTTACAGAGAGAAGGAAAAAAAAATTCATGACGACCCCTCGTCTGATTCTTTCGTTTTAACGACACTCAAAAACCGATGGACGTTTTTTTGTACCGTGGATTTTTTTTTTTATATATGTTTCGTTACGTTGCTTCGTCGTTTGTATTTATAGATCTGCATTATTCCGTATTATTTCTGTTTCGTTACGACAGTGGTATGCCGCCCCAATCACAGAAGAAAAAATGTCACACCACGGACAGATTTCTTACGGTTATATTGTTATTGCGCTCTCGACAAAAAATGTCTTTCGTTTCGTTCTTTTTTTTTATTTTGGTTTTTTATTCGGCTCATTGTCAGTCACGTCGCAGTTTGCGGGAGAACAGGTGGATCGAAAGTTGGAAACGTCGAGATGAAAAAAACCAAAAATCAAAAATACCAAAATGCAAAAGAATCCGACAGAAAAAAAGGTAATGAAATTGTTCCAGTACCAAGGATATGAAAATAGAAAAAAATCGAGAGAAAAATCAGTTAATCTTTGTGACAAGGGAATACAAATTACAAAAGTTGTTTCCATTCGAACGATCAACTTTTGATTGAGCAAAAATCAAAAAGAAAGAAAAACAGTAAAAATGTTACTGAAGTTGCATGTAACAAAATACAAAATTATTGAAGTTCACCAAACGAAAAAATATACAAAAAATAGAGAAGGAAAAAAATATAATGAAACATAGTGTAAAAGATAGAGAGAAAGAGAGGAAACAGAGAGAGTGAGAGAGTTGAGAAAGGAAGGATAATAGGAGCGAGAGCGAGATCCGTTCCTGTAAAGGAATCAAAAACACATTCATATAAAATATTTGCAAGCATTTTCAAAAATTGTTTATGTCTGATGCACCACAAAATGCGTAGAGGTTGAAGTACACCGTACGTGGGGCTCAAAAAATGTCGTTCCCACCTGCTCCTGGAAGTTCAAAAAACATCACTTCCCTTTTGAAAAACATTCACATTAGTATTTAGTTTAAGGAGAATTAATTAAAAGGTAATTAGTAGGGTCTCGTATCGTTTCTCTTCCTTTTGCTCTGTTATTCATTCGTTTCCTTCCCGTTGTTTTACCGCGACGCTCTGTGGCGCGTGTACAAAAAGAAAAACAAAAAGAAACGAGAAAGTCCATGAAAAAAAAAGAAATATAAGGAAAAACACGCAGGCAGTTTTTCTTCATGGCTAGGATGGAAAATGAAAAAAAAGTGTATGTCGATCAACGGATTCTGACCAGTCCGTGCGCGCAGTACAAATCTTCATCGAATTTTGAAAATAAAAATTTACAAAATCAAATAACGTGGAACGTGTTGAGAACGATCGAAATTTGAAGGAACAACAGAACAAAAAAGAACAAGATCGACTGGAAAAGTTTCTTGTTTCTTGAGAAAAAAAAAAAAAAAATAGAAAATCGGGAAACGTAAAACGGAAAGAAAAAGAGAAAAAAATGATAGAAAAGACGTTCGTCGACGACCGATACGGCGATAAATAAAAAATTGGACAAAAGGTGTTCGAAAGCTCGATTTTGGAACTTGTTAAAAAAGGTACTCGCGCCGCGAGCATGTTCTCGATAGAAAAGAATGAAAGAGACAGAGAGAGAGTGTTCTGTTGCAAAAATAGCCCGAACGGTCGATCGATTCAGGTACATGAAGCGTTTGAAGGAAATCAGGCATAGCTAAGTATTTACCATAGTGAACACATTGTGCATATCAATGGGAATTAAAAAGTTCTATACATGTGCCGTAAAAAGGAAACTCATTTCGTTGCATATTTGTGATAATTAGAGAAATAATTGCCGACCAAACGCATATTGTTATACAAAGTTAATATCCGATCAGCAACAAAACGGATTCGTGTTTAAAGAACGTAATTGAACGTAAAAGTACAATATACAATATATATAGATATATGTATATATATATATATCGGCAGAAGGTGTACACTCAACTTTGTTTTTATATAATATAAATATAGATATAAACATATGTAATCTCTTGTACACACACACACGAATGTATCAATTGAATATACACACGTGTGTGTGTACACATATATATTCGGGCACAATATGTATGGAGAATGCCACGTGGCTTCTCGGCTTTCAATCAGTTCTTCGTGGGTAACAAAATTTCTTAAATTATAACAACGTTGTTTTATAAAGATATACGTAGTTATATAGGCTTACAAATATTTTTAAATACGACAGACGAATCGTTGAACGACGTACAATCGAAGAACCAGATGTTCGTTGCTCGAGAAACGCACGATGCTCCTCCATAGAACCATTGTTGTTGTTACTGCTAAAGAGAGTATATGTAAATTATCATGAATTGAAATACTCACGTCTAGAGGCTTCTTTAAGACGATCCAACCAGACTCTGGTTGAATCTCAAAGTACTCCAGCCCTTGGTCATTGTTCGGCGAGCTCAACGAATACGTTATAGCGCCGTTATTATCGGCATCTTCGTCCGATGCCGATACTCTCAGAATGTTTGTGCCAATACTAGCATCCTGTTTTACGTTTTCTACGTATCGCTGGAAAAAAAGAGAAGAAATTTGAGGATATTTTGAAAATTTAGCTTCTTTAGTAGAAATGACGATTTGACTTGTAATTACATCTAACAATAAGCCAGACCTGTCTAACTTGCGGCCCGCGGGCCACTCGTGGCTCTTTCCCCTACCACGGAGCTCGCGCTCAGCTCCCCCCACTCTTCCAGTTGGTTTCACGACTCTTCCAATATTTGACGCGTATTCCTACTCATGCTGCGAGAAACCGCTACCCCACTATTGACACTACTGGATGGTGGGGGAAGTCTGAAGCGGTAAGAATGAGAGCAGTGGCTCTTTCGCTTCTAGCAGTTACTTACAAGGGGAACTACCCAAGTGTTACACTCACTTATTAATGAAACTTTGCCAGCTTGTAGAGCTCGTCAAACTGAACACGCCTATACCCCCTTTTGGGGGCAGACGGCTAATTGTTTAAAAGATATTAACAATTACAGTTAGTTACTCCTTACATTCTGAAGTATGTCAATACTTGTGTGCAAATCCCTGGTTCCCAACATTTTTTTTTTAATGATAATTCGTCTCTTTTTGAATAACTATTACATAAAAATTATCATAAAAAAAAAAAAAAACAATTTTGGGAACCGAGGATTTGAACCGAGGAGCTTCAGATTGCGAGTCATGGATCCGCTCCGTGGTTAAACACATGACTCGCAAACTAAAGGTCCTCGGTTCAAATCCTTGGCTCCCAAAAAATTTTTTTTTTTTTATGATAACTTTTTTGTAATAATTATTCAAAAAGAGACAAATTATCATTTAAAAAAAAAAAAAAATTTTGGGAACCAAGGATTTGAACCGTGGATCCCTAGATTGCGAGTTGTATGTGTCAGTTTGTCATACTTCAGAATGTAAGGAGTAACTAACTGTAATTGTTAATATCTTTTAAACAATTAGCCGTCTGCCCCCAAAAGGTGGTATAGGCGTGTTCAGCTCGACGAGTTCTACAAGCTGGCAAATTTTTATTAATAAGTGAGTGGAACACTTGGGTAGTTCTCCGTATTAGACAGGCCTGATCTAAGCAGTGTATGATAAGTAAGTACTGTTCAGAGATGGAAAGTAAATTAGGGAAAAGAAAGTGGGTATGATTCGTCGTATTCCGTACGTCACGCCTCGCGCACATGCATTCTAGATTATCGCGCGCTATTGGCCGATGCGATCACACACTAATTGCGTCGCCTGACAAAGAAGAAAAATGAGACTTTGCAACAAAGCGAGATGGTACGAAGTCAGCGTTGCGGCAAACTTTGAACGCTAGGGTCAAACATGGGGACAAGGCGGAGCGTGCGGAGTGCTCCCTTTGCCTTGGTGCCGTCTCGCTAGTTTACTTTTCATTTCCGAACAGTAGTGTTAATCCTTTTCAATATTTTTAATCTTTGTATGTCAACTCTTAAGATAATAATTACACGTTGTAATTGTAAGTTGAACATAGATAATTGCTGCAGGACAAATTATTGGATGGAAATGTTTCAAACGAAAATAGAAAGGCTAACATGTGGCTAACAAAGAGAATGCAAATTACGAAGAATTTCATTCATTCTGAGCGAATCAATCTATTCCTAATTGTTATGCCATGCACAAAGTGCAAACTGTCCCAGTCAACCATCTTTTGCATTTCTTTCAAACTGGTCTCTTTGTATGCTTCGATGGTTACTGTTTGAATTTCAAAGGCCATCGAATGATCCAATACAGCCACGTGAAAGACAATTTTACCCGCCTCTTCTATCCATTAACAATGAAACACTATTCTTTGATACTTCGTTTCAACGATCAATATCAAGCAATTGTTCAAATAAAACACAATATACATTAAATCAAACGAAAGGTCAATTGAATTAATGTATTGTAAATAATTACCTAACATTATTTTTAATATAATAACAAAGCAACTTTAATCAGTATATTCAGATATAATATGTCACTCTACAATTTTCTGCGAAATGATTAATGTAGTAAGGATTTTAGAAAAAGTTATTGAAGCTACGCTTTTCTTACAAATTAGATCTATAAAAGAAATATTATTACAATGAACTTTTATCATCACACAGATTATAAATTATACAAATTATTCCATAAATGTTTTCACGTTTTACTTTTCATAGTTACTAATCACACTAAATATATTTTATATGTTAAACTTCCATAAAAATTAACTATAACCAATATTAAACAAATTAACATGAACAAAAATATTTCCAAAAGAACATGACATAATTGAATAGTGTTATATCAATATACCACTACTTGTGTACAAATTTTTAAGAGCCTCATAGTCATTATTTATATCTCATCAACATTTTAAGTTTATCCTAAAGTGATTTACATAAGTTAGCTTAAAAGGTATCACGATATTTTTCTCTCTTAGTGTAACAACTTCGTACAAACTTACTATATAAAGCTCTAGTTTGTTCTTTTTACATTGAACTTTTCACTATTTTCATTATAAGTGCACGAACTTCCATTTAATTATTAACATACAACACTAGATATTACTAATTAACAATTAATCACGAGAAAAGGTGGCCTTCAAAAAACGTCGCACAGCTTCATAAAATATTATCCTAAAGTACTGCATCTACGGTCATACGAAAGGGCAATTCTTTCCCTTTAAAGTACATTTTGTTAGATGTCAATAGGACTTGCCGTTCTCAAGATATCGTCATTGAAAGATACCCGTAATTTAAATTATTTCACTCGCACAGGCGAGACCCGACTCGGATTCACTGACCAATCCCAAGCCTGGAGTTGTGGTCATTGGCATACGCTGATTCAAGGTGTTTTACTACTACTATTACTATAGACAGATGAGAAGTTGACAAGCTTAAGGAATGCGGGTACGATTGGTCGTCGTCGATAAGTCACGCCTCACGCACACGTATTCTAGATCGTCGCGCGCTATTGGCCGATGCGGTCACATACTAATCGCGTCGCCTGACAAAGAAGGAAAATGAGACTTTGTGACAAAGTGAGATGGTACGAAGTTAGCGTTGCGGCGAACTTTGGACGCGAGGACCAAACGTGGGGCAGGGCGGAGCGTGCGAACTGCTCCGTTTGCCTCTGTGCCGTCCCGCTCGTCAACTTCTCATCTCTGCATAGTACTACTACGCGCGTATGCATTTTCTGGAGATAAAGTAGGTCACGCCGTTGGCGAAATTATTAATGACCATTCAATACTCCGTATATATTGAATGGCAACTTTAAAGTGTTATATCTCGAGAACCACTTAAGATATCAACTTACAATTAAGTGCATATTAAAGAGCACGCTTTCGTCTATTTTACAGATGTAATATGACATGTGTATTGCAATTGTTTATTAACTATATTTTGAATTATAGTTTATTATATTAAAATTAGGATATGTTGCATTAATTTTTAGTACTTAGGTACATGATGTCGGTTTATTGATAATAATAATTATTCAATCTATTATGAATCAAGTTTTAATTTAACCGAATTTAAAATTTGTCTAGTTGAACTAAAATTGAGATTTGTATAAAATATATGTTAGTTAAATCGTTGAATTTTCTTTTTATTATTTAATCTTTAATTCATTAAGTATTTAAACTCCGAAATGGAGCGTATAATAAAATGTAAATTAATGCGAATTGGAAAATTTAAAAAAGTAAATTCTATTTGTAAAATATTTATAACATTAAAAACCCAATTCTTATTCTGTAGTGCAAATTTTTTGCTTAACTTTAATATAATTTAGAATATCAACTTGACATAGAATATGTAGGTACTCGTGAAAATTTTCTTCTATTTTTCGAGTATGATTTCTTTTTTCGTTACGTATGTTCTGGATTTATATTTATCTTTATAATTGAAATATTATTAAAGCTTTTTACAATTTTTTCTAGTTATATGTATACGTATATATTATAGTATTTCTTGATCGACCGTAGAAATTTCTTTTAAATTGTACTACAATACTTGAATAATAATTTGATTCGTTTAATGAAAAACTCAAAATCTAGTAAAAATTGATTTCTGTTTGTGAAATATAAAACTGTAAGCATAATTTCTGTTTTATGATTTCAGTAATGACGCTACTCTGCTTATGTAATAGTTATTTCGAACATTTGTGGTTTTTTCTAGCATTGTAGATAGAGTCTTCTCCACAAATTGATTTATATAATAATTATTTTTAACCATCATATAACCTAGCTTCTTTCTAGATAATTTACAAACTGACTCACCTGACGGTCGAATAGGGGTGGGTTGTCATTAACGTCAGTAATTTCAACAGTGAAGGAACAGACACCTTCCAAAGAAGGTTCACCTTGATCTGTTGCTTTAACAGTAACAGATACGAACTTTCCATCATCTCCCTCACGATCGAATACCTAAAAAACCATTAAAATTAATTGTAACACCTGTAACCTTGTCCCCTTTTTCTTTTCACTGAAATCACTATTGTAAAAATCCTGATAATAAAATACCAAAAATTTATATTAATCTAATCTGAATTTAATGTTCATAGTTTCCTTGAACGACTGAACCGGGTCAATTGTGACTCATTGTCCAACAATATTTCGATTACAATTAGATCTATCAATTTTTTAACGAAAAAGTTTTGTACGCTAAAATATAATATTTATATAAAATTCAAATTAAATTATCATTGCATCAACTGTCAGCCATCAAAGAATTAATTTCCACACAAAATGTACCTTATTCGTCAGAACCTGGCCAGTCTCCTCATCAACAGTAAATTTTGTTCCTTTCTGATTGGGTTGTTGAACGATGGAATATTTAACCTGCCCATTCACACCCTTATCTTTATCCGTAGCTTGAACCTTGATAACAGTACTTCCATTGGGTGCACCTTCCTCGACTTTTGGATTATACATGCTGCAATCTTTGAACTCTGGTTTGTTGTCGTTGACATCAGTGATGAAAACCACGACGACAGCAGTACTGGTGTGAGTTGTTGTTTCTCCATTAGGACAACAAGCTCCATCATCGAGAGCAGTCACATTCAGTTCGTATTTGTCTCGTTCCAGAGATATCTCTTTTCCGTGCAGTCGAATCACACCAGTGATCTCCTCGATCACGAACTGACCGGACGTAGTGTTACCTCCGACGAATCTGAACCGAACATTGTCACCGTCCTTGTCTGAAGCTACCACGGTTGTGACAAGGGTGTTGGGTCCAGCATTTTCGTCCACGTTTGGCGTGTACACTTGCTGAGAGAATTTTGGCTCTTCGTCGTTCTTGTTCTTTGTGTATATTCGTACTGTTGCTGTACCAGTCTTTGGTGGTTCTCCTGTAAAAATTCATTAGAGTTAGTAGAAAGAATATTAAGATAATTTTTAGAGAGTTTGTGAATAAGATATAGTGTTGGAACTTTTATTTATTATGTAACCCTTCGACTGTTAGTAATTTTTATAGGAACTTATATTTGAAAATTGAAACCCATTATTTTTTACACATTGATTCATAGTTTACAAATTTTTATTTCTAAGCCATTTTCTCTCTGGAACTGGGAGAAAAAACGATGTAGAAAATTATCAGAGTTATTCACGTATTGGTTTCATTTCTTAGCAATGTTCCTTTGCAATAGTATACAGTCGAAAAGTTAACAATTTTTCTATAAGAACATGAGAACGCACCTTTGTCTCTGGCGGTAACAACAAATTCGTAATAAGCATTATTGTTGTCTGCATCTAACTGTTTATTGTTAACAATTATCCCTTGAGAATCCACGCTAAAGTGGTCGTCTGACACCAAATACTCTATTTCCGCGTTAGCACCGGAATCTGCGTCCGTTGCTTTCACTTTTAATATACTTGTGCCCAGTGAAATATCCTCGTCAACATTGTGGGCTTGGTAATCGGGCAGCTCGAATTTCGGGGCATTGTCGTTCACATCGGACACGCGTATGGTCAGCTGAAACCGCAAGACAATTTTAGTACAATGAATTTCATAGAATCGATCAAATTCATAGGTGGATGAAATTCGACTATTATACGTAGAACAATTTGTGATATTATTTTGCAACTGTACGTATAGCAGGTTTGGTACTTTGGTGTTGATTGATTTGTTTAAATTAATAAGATTATACTTTGTCTGGCAAACATTGTGGATTTCATAATCAAGTATGATAATTGGTGTAATTAAGATTTTTATCTGGGATAAGCCACGCCCCCCTAGCTTTACTAAAAGGGTCGAAAATATAATGTTATAATTTTTAATAATAAGAAAATACTTATTTCTATTAAGATGACAGTTTATAAATTGACAGATGTATAACTTCTGTACTTATAGGCAAATAAACTGAAGGTTCAGAAATCATCCTAAATATCATACTTTGGCACTAAAGGATTGAAAAATTTCTTTAATAATTATTTGTTAGCAGCTAGATATCAGAAGAAGCTACAAATTTTTGCAATTGAAATTATAGGGTAATACTTTGTAACTTTTGCATTAAAAAATAGGTATTTATAGTGTAATTAATACTTATGAGAAAGATGAAATTAATCTACCTCGACGGAAGTGGAAAAACCACCAGAATCTTCGGTAGCAGTGACTAAGAGAGAATAAATATGTGGTTGACGTAGATCCTCGAAATCCAATTCCTTAGCGAGCTTCACAATACCGGAACTTGGTCCGATGTTAAATGTTCCTGCTGCTCCTAGTCCTTGAGCTTTTAGCGTATAACGAATTTCACGATCGGCAAATGACTTTGCTTTCACGGATATGATACTAAAAACAATTATAAATCAAATATCAGTGAATGTATATTTAAAAGTTGCGATATGATATGATATGAGGACTTTTACTCAAACTCGAAAAATCTTTTATTGAATAGTAAATTTGTACAAATTTTTACTATTGAAAATTAAATATTAATTAGTTTGCAATTATTGTCCTAATAATCGTTAATGTCGTGAAGAATATTACTTCCATGGTGATTAGCCCATTATTCCGAATCGTACAAAATTATTTAAGAAATTTGATTTAAATCATCACTAATATAGGATTTTATTAAAATGGATATACAGGGTGTCTCATAACTCCTGTAACACCCGGAAATGGGGGGTTGCTGGGGTGATTCTGAACAACTTTTTCCTTTACCAAAATGTTGGTTGAAACTTCGTTTTTGAGTTATTAACAAAAAACACTGACCAATCCGAGCGCGCGGGGTCAGGGACGACAGCGTTGGCTCTGAACCGCGCTCGGTCATGAACAAACTCATTGTCACAGCGTGGGTATCGAGGGAAGCGTGCGACTAATTCCACATGTAATATTTATCACACACTTCTTTCGATACCCACGCTGTGCCAATGCGTTTGTTCACGACCGAACGCGGTTCAGAGACAACGCTCTCGTGCTTGAGCGTGCGCTCTGATTCGCCAGTGTTTTTCGTTAATAATTCAAAAAGGAAGCTTCAACCAACATTTTGGTAAAGGAAAAAGTTGTTCAGAATCATCCCAGCAACCACCCATTTCCGAATGTTACGCGAGTTCTGGAACACCCTGTACATATATGCCTATATTGCTTTTAAAACAATGATACTGGCTAGTTTTTCAGCAGCGCTCACCAGAAAGGAATTTCAGATAAAGTTGAAACTTACTCAGAATCTTTCTTCTGGTTTTCCGGTATTTCAGCTTCGTACGCGATCATGTAGAACTGAGGTGCTCGTTTTCCACCTACGATCGATAAACGTTCCTCAGGAGTCGATTGAAAACGCCTCTCGTCTATACGGCCATTCTGATCTTCTGCTTTCACATACAGAACATATTCCATGTCCAACTGAAAGAGATCGGTCCCCCGGGTACGTACAACTCCGGATCGTTCGTCTACCTCGAAACGGCCTCCAGCTGCAAGACAAAACGTGAGCCATTTATTTCTCAGCCGGATTATTTTATGGCGACTGACATCGAATAGGGGACACGATGTTTCATGCGGGAGTCCCGTGGATATTTCATGGAAAGCAACTCATGAGGAAGCTGTCCCTTTTGTCAGAGAACGAAAACAACAACGATGCTCGATTATAGAGATATTTTTTATTCTTTTCTCTTCTTTTATTTTTTCATCTTCTCGATATTAAAACTGCTACCTATTTTAATACATCTGTATGTGAGAAATGTTAAGGTGACCTTTACCGAGTTAGTATTGTTTAAAATTTTATGCAAGACTGAGGAATTTTGTAATATTTCTTTGAATTGATTAATTTCAATTTAGGAATTACAGTAAATACAATGTGAAGATGTAAATATACTGTTTATGTTAATTATTAAGTATGAAGTACATGGAAATTTTATGGAAAATTTGAAATAAGCATTTGATTAATTTGTAAAAGTAATAGGAATCGGTTTATTTACTAATCATTATAATAATTATATTGTAACCAACAATATATCCCCTTTCTAATAAAGGAAATAATAATAAATTTACAAAGAAATCCTTTTTTCCATACTTCTAAAAGTCTATACCCCCATCAAATAAAATTTTATTAACCTTCGGACGGCAAATTTTGTATTTCATTTTATTTTAATTTTTTAAATTTTAGACTGTTCTTTTAAAATTATTCTTCAAGTGTATGAAACCTTTTTGTTAAAAATGATACATTTAACTTTAGGTTAATATTCTCGTATATTTTGTAAATTTAGATTAAGATTGACCCAGGTTCCGCTGTTCAAGGATTAATAATCTCCTATTATATTACAAATGTATGAAACCTTTTCGTTAAAAATTATATAGTTAACTTTAGGTTAATATTCTCGTATATTTTGTAAGTTTGGATCAAGATTGACCCAGGCTCCGCTGTTCAAGGATTAATAATCTCCTATTATATTACAAATGTTAATTGGCAACGTAGAAAATAGGAATATCAAAAATTCATACGTACTCCGATCTCGTACTATGAAGTAATGAATATTGCTGTCGGTGTCAGGATCCCTTGCTTGAAGGGTAAACACATGGGTATTCGGTGGTGCATTCAGCTGAACGACGGTTTGCATTGGCAGAGGTCGATTTATGAAGTATGGCGGTTCATCGTTAACGTCCTTCATGTTGATAATGACACGCTGATTGTCTGTATCTGTAATCATCGATCGATTATTGATATGAGCTCGCAAGCCCATATTGACGGGAAACGGTGAACAGTGTTCAAAGGCGGTAGCCGAATAGCATTTGACATTATCACGTTGGACGCTTTGACCTTTGGCCTGTTAAATTCGACGTGAATCTCAAAATGAAATTTCTCGATATGTATATTGTAACGCGATGCTCCACTTTGAATTTAGCACAATCAATTCGGTTATACATATATCTATTATACGTATTTTCAAGGTGTTTGATTTGATGGAATGAATGTTTCGAAAGATTTTATTTGAATAACTGTTATTTCAAAATTTTTATGACCCAGCGTAATATTTATTTAGGAAGTTTGCTTTTAAACATTGATCTATAATTTTATACTGAAGTATCAAGTGAAATCAAATGTAAAAAATAAAATACACCCGGAGATATAAAAAATTATTGTAATAAATTATTGTAAATATGAATTTATTTTTAAATTTTAGAAAATACTTCCACATATTTCTTTTAATACATTTATAGATAACTGGAATTGACAAATTTTTCATTTATCTTACTCTAGAATCTTAAACTTTTTATTTTTTCTAATATTAATAATCACTGCTCCATTTTATGATTCATATTTTCACCAAAATTTTATTTAGGTATTTTCAAGATATTTGAGATTTGAGAATAGTACAATTCTTCATGTACAAAAATAACAACTTACAATAATTTATTTATCACTAGCATAAGTAGATAGGACCAGGGTGGAATATGGATCCCTCATTATACTAGAACTATAGGACTCTCAATAAAATTTCATAATTTCAAGATTTCAAAAATCCAGGACTTCAAAATTTCGCAAAGATTTGGCCCATTCCAGAAAAGGCAATGTTATTTATTAAATTTATAATCTGAAAAATCGTCTACGCATATTCTATCATTACGAAATCTATCTATAAAAACGAAATAATTGTCTGAAATGTCAGTTCCACGTTGTACAGAACTCATCGAATCTATCGCGACTGCAACAACAATGAAAAATATAAAAATATACTCTCCAAGCATCGACAAGAATGAAAGGTTTAATTAATTTTCACGATGAACAGACTCCTGCAAAATTGATTTGGAACAGCGTTCAAGCCGTCTCTTGACCGATTTACTGCAGAGTCAAGCATCCTGTCACGAAAGCTTTCATCGTAAAAGGAATTCACTTTATTCACTTAAATCTTCTTCCGTCACCGCCCATAAACACTGTCAACCCAGCAACCGAGCAATCTACATAGCAAGCTGAATTTTATACTACAAGCATCTAGTGCAAAATTCTACCTGGATTGTTTTATTCTACGCAAACTACTAAAGCTTATAATGCTTCTTTCTAATATTTTATATACAAGAAGTGACTGTACGAATAAGTGAAAATGAAGATGACATGTGGTTTTACTTACATTGAAATCCTGTGGAAGCCGAGAATGCGGGAAAGAAAATGTTCATCATTAGTCAAAGTGATAATAAAAGCATAGATAATTAAAGATAAGGAAGCACGACAAGAAATTTGAATTTTAGCAGTATTTTTTTATTTTCAAACACTTTGAAAATTTGTTTAAATGAACTGTAATGCATTGAAAGATAATGATAAATACATATCTATTATATAAGTAGCTTGAAAACATATTATACGTTAAATTATATTTTTTAATGGATTTTCTGTATTTATAAGTAAGAATTATATTTATAATATTTAACAGCAATATGTTAAATTAAAATTTCAACAAAAAGAAACAGATGAAACAAAGAATTAAAATTCAACCCTTGTACACGTTAATCGATATTATTATTTGGCCCCTGAAAAAAGGATTCAGGATCCTCTAAAAACATTCTTTGGGTACCTTCGATAGTACTCAATAAATGGTGAATTTTCATTTCGGATCAATTTCGAGTGAAATCTGGAGCACGAGGGTTAATTAAAACTGTATAATAATGAAAACTGCGACAACGTAATAATTTCGCGTCACTAAATAACGCTAACACACCGGAATACCATGTAATTTAATTCCTTCCGGTCCCTTCATGCGTAACACACGTCGCACTCATTTTTCCTGGCGAAACTGTAATTAACGCTTGACCCACGATGTGAGGTCCATGTTCGAACAATTACCCTGGTTCCGAAAGGAAATTGTACCCACGTGCAAGTAGAAAAACTTTCGCATAGGACTTCAATCCCATATACACGATAAATGTTTAAAAATTATCATCTTGAATATTTTTCAAACTGCGGGAACCACCGAAAAATGGTTAAAGATTTCATGGTGAAAAAGAAACTATCAGATGGTGTCAGTAACTTATTTTTTAGGTAGAGTTACTTTTGAAAGTATTTTTACTTTTTCGAATAGAACCATACATTTATCTTCAAAGTATTGTATGTAAAAAGCTAATGTACATTCGCGATCAAATCAGGCTTCCCCAGGGAAAATCACGATATAGGGAAAGCAGGAATTCTCAAAATCCTAATTTTGACGATGTTAATATTAAAAGCAATTTTAAAAAACGAAAATAATATAATTTTTAATTGTTATATACTACAATATAAAATGTAGTATATAACTGACAATTAAGTAAATATTAATTAAAATGTTCCCACGTAAGGGTTTATACCCAATTGGTAGAAAAGCACAGATTTCTGTATGTACAGGGTGTCCTATTTAAAGTGAACCAGATGGTGATCATATTGCTACAAAATATAGTTACTGTTAAACTTCATAAAATTCAAAGTTTTATATTTACATTTTGAAATTGAATAGCTCATAAAAACTATTGCATATCACATATTGTATTTGAAGACAATAAATGCAGAACTATAGTATTGATGGTTCAGACATCCTGTGTACAGGGTGTCCCAGAAAGAGTGTTAGTCCTTTAAGGGAAAGGTAGGTGCGAAAGGTATTTTGCGAAAATATTATTTGAAGCTTCGTTTTTGAATTATTAAGGAAAAGCACTGGCCAATCAGAGCGCGCATAGCGCGCGGGCTCAGGGACGGCAGTCTCGATTCCTGCTATACCAGCAAGGTGCCGAAAGTGTTCGTTCGGGACCTAGGCCAAGCCCATTTCTCGTAGTTGATGCTACCGTCCATGAGCACGCGCGCCATGCGCACTCGGATTGGTCAGTGTTTTCCCTTAATAATTCGAAAACAAAGTTCAAAGCTCAACATTTTCGCAAAGGAAAATGTTCAAATTCACCTCGGCTACCACCCCTTTCAAGGACTCTTCCTAGGACATCCTGTATGTAGGGCCCCTTCCGCTCTATTGTTATTTTCCTCGCGAAAGTCTACGGCAGGCCTGTCTAACTCCTAGAAGTGAAAGAGCCACTGCTCCCACTCTTACCGCTTCAGACTTCCCCCACCATCCAGTAGTGTCAATAGTGGGGCAGCGGTTCCTAGCAGACTAGGAATACAAATATTGGCAGAGCGGGAAACCAACTGGAAGAGTGGGGGGGAGCCGAGCGCGAGCTGCGTGGTAGGGGAAGGAGTCACGAGTGGCCCGCGTGCCGCAGGTTAGACAAGCCTGGTCTACGACATAGACTCTATGGGGAAAGGGAGAAACCCGGAACATCACTATTTTTCTCGAAGAAGCCTGACTTGATCGCGAATGTGCAATGTTAAAAAAATTAAAAATTCGTGAAATACTATAAACCCAAAAATAAAATACCTACCTATTTTATACAAAATATCGATTTCGTTTTATATTATATTATATCGTATTGTATTTTATTTAGTATAATAATGTATTTTACTGTTTATATTTTAAACATATTCTATCATATTTAAAAACGACTCAGTATGAAAAACAAATTCTTAGCTTCATGTGATCCTTTTTGCCATGCAGTTTTCATTTGATAATATTTTCTCCAACCCCTTAACATTCAAAAATATTTAAAATGATAATTCTTATTAGTCTACCTTGTATGTTTCTCGCCGTGTTTCCTTAACGATACAAATGTACAATTAGTGTTGTGATCAGGGGCGGAATGGGACATACTTTTACCGGAAGATTAGTGACACGATGGGCCTTCGTGTAGAATATGGACCCCAATTTTAATTAATTAGATCCCAAATTCCTACCGGCCCACCGAGAATTTTTTCGAACTCCCAATAGCCAGTCCGCCCCTGGTTGTAACCGTTCTTGATCGATATAATCGTGCAGCGTGTATGGCTTTCCATAAGCACATGATTCCATCCCCACGGAAAAGAAATTCAGTGAGAAGAACCGAGCCACAGCGTGGACAAAGCTGATGGACGATGTGTAAACGGTGTGTTCGAGATTATATTATGATAAGCAAAAATTAAAATTGTACCGTGAAATGGACACCGGATATATGGCGGGTACCGTGAACACCGATCTTCGGCCACGAGGCGAACAACAAAATAAATATTAATTAAAAGAAATAATACGTAATAAACGAATAATAAAAGAATAATACGAGTAATAAAAGAGTAATAAAAAAATATTACGTCACGTAAAGAAAAAAAGATTTTGATATTCTAGAAAAAACTTGGGTTTCATTGGGATTCTTAACAGTAGATCAAAATGCAAATTATAAAAATGATCACGAAATAAATAAATACTATTAAAAATTGTTATGTTTTGCTAGATTCACTCTCTAATTTTCTTATTTCTAAATATTTAATAAATTTCAACATCAATAAAAAACAAAATTATTAATGAAATGACCAAGTAAACTCATAGGCATCGAGAGATGTCTTGTACCACTGAAAAATTTGTATATTTTTCTATTTTTAATTTCAAATGTACCAAAAAGAAAAAAGATGGTGAAGTAAACTTGAATAACCAATTGGGCAAAAATAATATCACCAGCACATTCTTTCTCTTTAATCACTTACGAAAAATGGAATAAAACTAACATTAACCAAACATAATATTCATTACCTGTATTCGTAATGGTCACCCAAAAGTCAATGGTCTTTTCCGAGCCCAACTCCTCGTAATCCCATTTCTGTTTCACCACAACCGACCCATTCGGGCAAACAGAGACCCATTTATTCTCATCCCTAATCTTGTACACCTCCTTCTCGTTCTCCTTCTCCAAATAAAACACGATCTTTCCTTCGACATCGCCGTCCGCTTCCGTGAAGTCCACCTTCTTCGTCGGCCTAACAGCCCTGGTTACCCTACGTTTTTGTATACGGTGAACTTCAACGTCCACCGGTTGTGACGTCAAGAATCTGACAATAACCTTGGCGGGTTTCTCCGTAGATCGACTAGGACTTCGTACATCGTGAGCCTCGACGATCACCACACACTCGCTGTCTTCGTCCATCGTGATTTCCGGTTCGCCGACCAACATAAGTTCTCCAGTCTGGGGTACTACCACCAACAAACTGCTAGGCGTGAGTAATTTATAGGCAACCTTGTCACCATCGTCATCCTTCGCAGCGACCTTCCCCACCACAGAGAACCGTTTCCATCCAGGAAGTGCGACAGAGTTCTTGTGAATGGCGTCCAGGTTGGTCGGTCTTATCTCAAACGTGTATAATTCTTTCTCGAACACGGGGCTGTTGTCGTTTTCATCCAGCACGTGGACAACGCCGTTGATCTGTGAACTGCTAAGCAGATAACCATCAGAAGCGTGTATCGCGACGGTGTAAAGCTTCTTGGTCTCTCGGTCCAGAGGTTTCGCGGTCACCACCCTGACCCCATCTTTCTGGCTGTTCAACGTCAGATTGAAACCCGTGTGGTTCGAGTCTTCCTCTTGCAAAGCGAACGGACGATCCCCAGTTTCGTCCGGGAGAATGGTGTAATGGACCGGGAAGCTTCCTCGAGCTCTTAAGACCGGAAAGCCGTCGATCAAGGTGCCAGAGACAGAATTCTCCGGTACCTCTCCCTCGCCAAGGTGATCGTGCGAGAAGGTGATCATGTTCCGGCGATTAATCACGTATAGATGGAGGAAATGTGTCTGGGTACCGTTGGCCAATTCTTCGAGGACGATCAGGTTCACTGGCCGGTCGACCAGCGGTGACAAATCGGACGTGGTCATCACCAGACCGTTTCCCAATACAGTGAAGAATTTGGAAAAACCATTCTCCATCAGATGGAAGTTCGATGGACGTTTTGTATTAAACAGCGTCACCTCGTATCCTGGGTAAACATCGTGGGGTAAAACCACCACTTTGTCACCCACCGAGGTGGCCACCAGCAAGACTGCGACGACTAGTATGCGCCACATCGTGCTGCCTCTTTTCCGCTCCGCTCTCAATACTCTCGTGCTTTTACTAAAGCATGAGTGCTGACACCATCTGCAAGTAGATAAGAAACAGTGGGGTTAATCAAAGGTGCTTTACAATTAGAACATATTATTTCATAAATTATAGAATAAATCTTTGGTATAGATAGCTTTATTTTGGAAAAAGCGAGCTTTGTGTAACGGTTACAACGACAATTACTTGAATTATAGGATCGTATTAAGGTTTCTGAGGCCCGGGACTATCGAAAATTCGAGGGTCCCCGTGGTTGCCAAACTTGGTTCAAAAATTGAAATTTATCTTAAATAAAATTAAGTAACATTTAATTGCAAAGAAAAAGGGCAACGGTAAAAAAAATTTCATTCAATATTACGAGACAAAATAAGTGGAAGGCTTGCAATTGAGCCCCCTCCACCGGCGCTAAATAAACGAAAGATTTGGTATGGCGAATCTATAGAGGACTCAGCTACATTATAAATGATCTTCTCTGCACGTTATGGAATAAAAATATCATTAAAAATCACTGAATTTGTCTTAATGATATCTACAATACCACATAAAAGAATTTGTATGGCCTCGAAGTTTTTATTAAAAGAAGAAAGTATTTTTGCGATTTGTTGACAATTGGTAATTCTATGTCATGAATATGTAAACTTTCACAGTTTATTAATATCTAGAATTGTATAAATAAAACAGTAGTTTAGCGATGAAAACGATCATTTGACTCGGCTGTTCATGGATTGAAAGGATGAATGGTTCAGTCACATATTCCCATGCCAATTGTCTGGCGAAAACCGTGCCAGAAACGAAGACAGACAGTCCTAAAACGACGATAAATTATTTCGACGAGTGTAATCCGCTGGTTGATTCAGATTTATGCCACCCTTTAACCAAATCGCGCGTACACGCACCCACGTACATGCCAACATCGATGTAACAAGCAATTTTCATACCAATTGATGCGATTTTCTATGTCTCTGTGATTACTCGAATTCGTTGAAAGGAATTTTAACATCAGTCGAGTACTTATAAACGAGAAATACTGGTTCCATAACTAAATTTCCTCGACTTAATATACAAAATTTGAACTTTGAACTTTTAAACAGGCTGTGAAAATAACTTTTCAGAAAGTAGGCTAATCAACTTCACTTTCTGTCAATCTAACATTAATAACTTTTTTGATATTTTTATTGCCATAAATTTCAACTTTTATTTTATGAATTAACATATTGACTCGTATGCGATAGAGGTCAATCATGTATATTATAAAGAATTTTGTTAATTACCTAATTAGAAATTAGGTAAATTAACAATATTAAAATTATCACCTGCTAGAAAATCACAAATAAATACTGAAAAGATAATAGATACAATTTTGTGAATAAAACTTTTCATTATTTTGTTCGAAATGTATTGGCAATTAATAGATTATCCGTATTCCTTTCATCATTTGACCTTTTTGTCGGTTCTTGAACCCCGTCGAAAATTAAAGGAGAAATGGAACTGAATGGGACCATGATGAGGCATCATTATCGAGATTCATGCTGTTGCGGATCATGAAGGGTTGACACGAAATTACGTGTCGACGCTTCGTTTATCGTAATGCTGATTCCACATTAAATACGATACTGCGGATACTTGCAATATTCGACAAACAATTTATAAGATCATTGATTTTCAATAGAACACGTTGCATATTGTGCAATGATTTTAATTCGAAGAGACTTATTCTTTATTCCTTACTTTCAGACTAATATGTATTTCAGATCATATTCTTACAGTTGGTATAATAGTAATGCTATTCAAATTCCTCTTTCTCTCCTCTCTAATTATTAGATTATACATAGTAGCTATATTTGGGACATCACTTGTTGGTGACCTCAATAGTAGTCAATGTGTTAATATTACATAAAACAATGAAAATTTAATCTACAAGTACGACTGAAACTCTGTGAGAGCAAATGAATAAAGTCGTCGAAGTAACCTTCAACTTTTTCCATTTTGACATTTTTATTTCACATCTGTGAAGATAAAAATATCAGAATGCACCAGTCATTTACATATTTCATTAGAAGTAAAAAATAACCTGCTAAAGAAAATCTACGACTTTTTTATTTCATTGTGAATGAAAAAATTGATGTGAATATATTTAAGGTAGAAATATTTTCAGAAAACTGTATATACTACCGTTTAAAAGGCTTTGGTCATTAGCTACATTTAACGAAGCACTGTAACATTACTATTTTCTCTATAATAACTTTGTAATAAATAATACAGCACTCTACAATATTTTAGAGTATAATAAATAGTAATGGTGATCTGTACCAGCGGTTCTCAACTAGTGGTAGAAATATTAATGGGACGCGAGAGGCAGCTGAATGGCACGCAGATAATTTGTGCAATATACAGTATAAAAATTGCAATATTGTTTGCTAATCGTACAGTATGGAGGATGGTAGATTTCCGCAGGGTAAATAGCGATACTCCCAACCCACTCAGTAGACCACCCCTTTCCGAGACTCGTGCCTCGCGCCTTAGGCGTTCCACAGAAGAATGATGATATAGAGGAGTAGGTCCCATATAACCCATGATGGTGGGCTCCCCACCATCTGCATATAAACGCTTACGCGGAAAAAATTGAATTAATATTTACTTCGATATTCGCACTTTTCGGCTATACAGGGTGTTAAAAAATACCCTGAAGACCTCTACACCGCTGAATAGATTACGGAAAATCGAAGTGAAAAGTTCTGTAGCATTTTTCGATGGGATCAGTAGTTTAATCACATTTCGTTGTTGAAAATTAAAAAATTGACCAATCGCGCGCAGCTTGAGTGGCAAGACCCGCGGAGTAGGAGACTAGCCTCCTCTGCCCCTGACGAGCCGGGCCGCTGAGCGTCGCGATTACGCATGTGCCGAGAGTCTAGTGCAGGCCTGTCCAAGTAGGGGAAATTACTCCTGGAACACATGTTTTTGGTCCCTTTCCAACGCTGCTCCTTCAAGTAAGGTGGGACGGTTCCAGGAGTGGATTCCCCTACTTGGACAGGCCTAGTCTAGTGGAAACGAAATTAATTAATTATTTAAATAATTCAAACGTTGTTTGCTATTGTAAAGATAGCAATTTTATGCTTTTGGATATGTTCGATATCAATCTTTACTACAGGATACAGACGAAAATTGTACGTGTACAATTTATCAAACCGTTTAATAAATTGAAACAACTGGGTATGACCCACTAATAGATTAAACAAACAAACAAATAATTTGTCTATCTCCACTAGACTCTCGGCGCATGCGTAAACGTGACGCTCAGCGGCGCGGCTCGTCGGCGGCAGAGAAGGCTTGTCTCCTACTCCGCGGGTCTTGCCACTCAAGCTGCGCGCTGATTGGTCAATTTTTCAATTTTCCATAACGAAATGTGGCTAAACTACTGATCCCATCGAAAAATGCTACAGCACTTTTTACTTCGATTTTGCGTGATCTATCCAGCGGTGTAGAGATCTTCAGGGTATTTTTTAACACCCTGTATACTAATTGTAAGTTATATAATATTTAGTAATTACAAATCATATTATTTGATTTCTAAATCATTTTTAATATTAATATCGCCAAAATCAGATTTTTATGAATTCTTGCTTCCCATATATCGCCATTGTTTCTAGGAAAACCTACTTTGCTCCAATTCCTTTTTTTTTAAAATAAAATTATTCTATCAGAAACAAAAAAGGAAATATATATATGACAGCAATGTAATTAAATGTAAAATCTCTTAAATTTTTATGTACAGGACATACTTTTCTTGATGGTACTGAAATTCTTGAATTTTGATTTCGGTGGCACCATTCATAAAAAGGTTAAGAACCGTTGATCTATACTAAATAGCATAATTCTGTAATAAATAATTTACCATTAGAAATTGAAATTGAAATTCTATTATTGTAATATACCAAATATTTATTGATAGATTGATGCATTGGTTATTTGACCCAGAAGAATGTTGCATCGCGATCGAGTGATATAGAAATTGAAACGGGCAAATTTAAATGAAGCTGAATGAGAGGCGTCGTTGAGACCCGTCACGAAAATGTTTCTCCCTTTGTGGGTCTTTTTTCGCCGGAGTAGTTTCGAACTTAAACGAGCCGCGGCTGACCTCACGTCCGGTCCTCTTGGGGCGTGAATAGAATCAAATGGAACGGAGGGGGTTACTAAATGACAATGGTCAACTCGTACGCGCCGGTTCTTATTTCCGGTGCAACGTTGCGGACATTGTTCATTCCGTTGGTGTCTCTCGGACACCAGAGGCGACGCTGATATTTCGAGCGACAAAAGGAGACAATCATTGAATGATTGCCGTTTCTTCGTCATTCACTCCGCGTTCTAGATGAAACCCTATTTTGCATACCTTTCTCTTCAATTTTTTAAAAGGGACCTTCGAACGATCAATATTTATTATCAATACTGAAAAGACTTTGGTTTTCATCAAACCATCTCGTCAATATTTTAAATATTGGGAATACGTCAATTTCTTTCTCACGCGTTCAATAATATCGACGATATTGAAATATTGTCAAAATATAAAAATTTTTATTGTGATATGAATTTTAACCTTTCAACTGTGATGGCCTCTGTCGAAACCTGTTCCTGAATGTTTGTATATTAAATAACTTTGTTTATAAAATTTTCTTTGCAATAAGAAACTTTTTACCTTAGACATTCTTATTGCTATACGAAAAATTGCTATATGAAAATTTACATTGTATGTTTTCTATTTTTTAAATATAAATATTCTGTGTTAATATAATTTATGGAGAATTTTGACACTTTTTATGAACTTCAATATTTGCATTTTTCTTTCGCTGGCTACGCTTTTTGCATGGAAGAATGGCGCTCGTAATTTATTTTGTCAGTGGAAAATTTAATACTGGAGGAAATGAGAAAACTGAAACTGATATTCTGTTTTTATTAACAGGTGGTGTTAAATTCAGTGTATGATGTAATTAAAAATGAGACTGAATTTTTAAATTTTTTCTTTTTATGTCTGCTTATCATATTAC